TTTTTGTGATAAAATAAAAAACTTATAGTTGTTCTGCTTCTGAACACTGATGAAAACACAAAATGATGGGCTTCATCAACAATCAAAAATATATACATTTATTTTACAAATTCCATATTATTAGGGTGGCGCCCTTCAGAGAATTAAAAATACAAAATTATCTTCATCGAAGCCGATGCTTTACATCCGGTGTTCAGTGGCAGACTACTATTTCATATTGTTTTACAACACATGACTTTAACCCTCTGGTGGGAAAGACTTTAAAACAAAACTTACAACAGTTACTTTTCTCAACAACTGAAATTTAGAATAGTGTGATTAAGAAAAATATGTGAACTGTTTGCAATTTCAAATTAATATTGAAATGTACAGGTTTAGAATTTTCTACAGTGAAAAGTTTTCGGAACTTCAGTATTCAGAAAAGTATACAAAAGCTAGACGTTAAGAACGTATCCATGAGCGAGCGAAGCGAGCATTGGATTGCGAAGCAATTCGAAATGAACCGCGAAAGCAGTTCCGGGGGTTGGCGAGTGCCAGCGAGCAGGGGGCGAAGCCTCCTAGTAGTTATAGAATATTCATCTTCTTTATAGAAAAAAATATATTTCTGTATCTACATAATTCGAAAAACAACAGCAAAGAATCATCCGAATTAATTGAAATAGTATAATTTGTGTTGATTATTAATAAATTTTTTAATCGTTTTCTCGGTAAGTATTTTTTAGTTTTGAATGATAAATTTCAATTAGAATTCAGCTATTCTGTTTCTGTTCAGACCGCCAGAAGTTTAGAAAACTTCCAGTATATCACTCCGCTTATGTTATACTTACGAGGCGATGTGTGAACAGTCGCAATATTCAAGGAAGTTTTTTCATTGTGACTTCCTTTCAAATTTACTTGAAATTTCACAGATAATAAGGATTTTCGGTAATTTATAAATAGGTGGTGAAACGTGAAACACATTTAAGAAAATTAATATCACAATATAAATAAAGTTTAAGACTTGCCTTGTTTTGTGTGTTATCCCTTATTCGACTATATTTACGTAAAATATTGTTG